CATGTTATTATGGATCTGTTATGTTTATGAGCCTTGTTCTCATTCAAATTGTAAGATATATAAGTGCTACGTAAATTGCTGGCACTATGTAAATACCAATATTAAATAAATAAATGAATACATTAAATTTAATTCAGATAATAGTATTTTGATGTTTTATTATTTCTATAATACCGATAACATACCATTATTGTTTGAGGTATTTTGGCTGAATGAATATTTAAACTATGCATCTTTATCCAGCCCCTCACCTCCATCATACTGACTGTCAGCACAGGTAGCGTAAGCAGAAGAGGTCCAGATTCACAATGCGTTGTGGGCGCTGAGCTTTTTTTCCCCCGCTGGTTCATATCTGCTGAAGCAGGATGTGCTGAGGAACAGTACAAAAGATTCTCACATCGTGGAAATAGAAGTGATGTTTATTGCAAATCCATTGTCACAATATAATCCAATGTTTTAAAATTGCCCAGGGCAGGGCTGGATTAACCACAAGGCAAAATAAGCATGTGCTTAGGGCACCAGGGGAACCACAGGGTTTTTACCCTAGCTGTCATATGCTTAAAAGATAAGTACACTTTAAAACAAAGTGCACATATCCTTTTTGGCTGCTTCGCCCTGTGCTAACTGTGCTCCCCCTCTACAGGTTTAAATCCCGTACCACAAGTCCTCTCTCTGGCTGTGTGAGTACATTATAGCCCACAGACTTCTACAGGGCTCCTCTACCTTCATCTTTCAGCTGAAAGAGACCCATAGACTTTCTAATTCTTAATTATCATTTATCGAATAATTTTCCCTAATTATTTCTAAATAACAGGCCTCAGTCAGTTGCTTGATTTAGATGCATGCCCAATCTGATCAATAAATAACATTTAAAAAAAAAAGTTTTTATGTTATATAGTTGCGTGGTCTAACCGGGCTGACCTGGTAAGAAACTGAAGAAGGTTGAAAAAAATGTAAATTTTTTTTTTTTCACTTTCAGCACTTATTAAAGGAGAACTATGGGGTCAGTGTTTTTCCCCATAGTTCTCCTTAGGGTAACGGGAGGACACAAACTAGCGTCCTTCCGTTACCCTAAGCTCAGTATACTGCGAGCTAAAGCTCACGGTATACTGAGACGCCACAGCCGGAGCGGATCCCGACCTGGACGTAGAGGCAGAGCCAGCTGTACCCGCCCCCTCCCCCGTCCGTTCTGCCAGTCAGCGCTGGCAGATCGGAGCGGGGAGAGGGGAATCCAGCCTCTCCCCCTGTCACGGCAGAGAGCCAAAATCTATTTTGTCACTATATTACAGCATCCTGTGGAACGCACATTCATGCCTGTTGGTGTGCAGTCAGTACACAATTCCTGGGGAGTAGAAGTGGTCACACATGGCCTAGGTTTCAAGTTTTATTAAAAGCTATATGGCATTTAGAGGTACAGGAACATCAAACAAATAAGCTTTTTCAAAGTTCTTTTTATAAGATTAGGATGTATGTTTAGTGTGATCCTTTTTTAAGGTGCAACTCTTTTTTAAGGTGCAAAAACGATTCCCACTGGGTTATCAGTATAACATTTTAACAAACATTGTTGAAGATTTCTACCTTTTTCTGTCCTGAAGAAAAGCTGTTTGTTTCACCACGTCCTTTCCAGACTGATTCCTGAATAGGAGGGTCTGTGTTCATTATAACAGCCTGCTGCACTTTCAGTGTTCTAAAGAGGAAAGTTGCAGTGTCTGCATCACTTTATTAGTAGTTAACCTTCAGGCAGTATCTAACTAACAATTAATTTTTTTATTGCAGGGGATGCCAAAAACCTGACTTGTATCATAGTGCAGAGTTCTGGGAAAATCTTTGAGCGAATGACACATGCAGGAAATTTCATTTCTGGGGGTATTCCATACACCAATGGTGTGCAGAATGCCGCTGGTTACCATGTTGCATTGAGTTTTTTGAACAGTTTTAAAGAATTAGAGCGGCATCAGATAGAAATGTCAAAGTAAGATTTAATAATATGAAAACAGGGATGAAGACAAATGGGCGGAGCGAGTGGTGACATCACGACTTGCTCCCCCCATTTGTTTATATTTGGATCAGACTTATCATTTCACGGCGGAAGTTTGGAGACATCAGATGGGTCAGCGGGCGGTGGGACTTTTTTTTATTTCGGTGAGTCGACGGTCGATGGACACTGTTTTTTTTAATGAATGTATTCATTTTTTTTACTAATAAAGGACTTGTCATTGTGTTTTATGTCCAAACAAAGGACTTTTTCAAGGTGTGTTATGTTTATTTACTATTTTATTTACTATTTGGTATATGAGTAGGGGGTAACAACTACCCTTTTTTCATTCACAAGGGGTAAGCCGCAGATAAACCCCCCTGCCCGCAAACCCCCACATCCACCGGGCAAGGGTTGTGGGGGAAGAGGCACTTGCCATGGGGACAAGTTGCTTTTCCAGGGGGTCCCCCCCCCCGGCAAAGCACCCTCCCAATGTCAAGGTCATGTGGCCTGGTATGGTGCAGGATGGGGGAGGGGGGGGGCGCTTGCTTTAAACAGGCAGGTTGGGTTCAGTTGAGCGTGCGAGTTCATCTGCACAGTAAGAATACCTGTTTCCTTGCTGGTCAGTGTGAACACCTCCGTTACATTGCTGGTCAGTGTGAATACCTCTGTTACATTTCTGGTCAGTTAGAATACCTCCATTACATTGCTGGTCAGTGAGAATACCTCCATTACATTGCTAGTCAGCAAGAATACCTTTGTTACATTTCTGGTCAGTGAGAATACCTCCGTTACATTGCTGGTCAGTGAGAATGCCTCCATTACATTGCTGGTCAGTGAGAATACCACAGTTACACTGCTGGTCAGTGTGGATACCTCTGTTACATTGTGGATCAGTGAGAATACCTCTGTTACATTGCTGGTCAGTGAAAGTACCTCCCATACATTGCTGATCAGTGAGAATAACTCTGTTACATTGCTGATCAGTGAGAATGCCTCCATTACATTGCTGGTCAGTGAGAATACCACAGTTACACTGCTGGTCAGTGTGGATACCTCTGTTACATTGTGGATCAGTGAGAATACCTCTGTTACATTGCTGGTCAGTGAGAGTACCTCCCATACATTGCTGATCAGTGAGAATACCTCTGTTACATTGCTGGTCAGTGAGAGTACCTCCCATACATTGCTGATCAGTGAGAATACCTCCGTTATATTGGTGTTCTCTGTGAATACTTCCACTATATTACTGGTCAATGAGAATACCCCCATTACATTACTGGTCAATGAGTACCTCCGTCACATTACTGGTCAGTGTGAATACCTCCGTTACATTGGCGGTCAGTGTAAGGCATCCTAATTTTATTACACAGGATTTTTGCCACCTTCAACCCATCAGCAGCCACAACAGATGTTGCAGAACTCAACAGAACGTTCCGTGTCACATGATGTTTTCTATGTATTATATATAAAATGTGCTTGCAGTGTAATTGGTCGATTTTACAATTGAATTTGTTAGCAAAAAAGCAGGAAAAGTGAAGGTGTAGTTTCATTTTAATCTTCCAGTTTGCCTCATTTAGGTAAATTTGGGGTTCATGAAAAAGCCGGTTTATTCCGTGTGTTTAAGATATCCGATGTTTTGTTGATGCACTTTAATGGTATTTAAAATGTTTCCTTTTGATATATTTCCCTAAAAAGGCCCACCAAAATCCTTAGCACCAGGCCCATGATGCTCTTAATCCGTCCCTGTTTGTTTCATCTGAATTCCTAATTGGAGGAAATGTTTGTGAGTTTAATACTACTTTAAAGCAGATCTCTGAGCACACATTTTATTAACCCTTGCAGTGGGGCAACCCCCACACTGCAAGGTTTATCTGCTTGTTTTTTGTAAAAAAAAAAAAAGTTATACTCACCCGATCTTTGTAGCTGGCTGGCTGTCACAGCTCTCCCTCCTCCGCTGCAGCGAAGGTATGTCCCTCTGCGTCCTTACGTCCTATACACTGTGTAGAACGTGATGAGTCACAGGACCTTAGACTGCTGCAGCGGAGGGGGAGAGAGGCTCCACGGAGAGTTAGCTGCCTCCGAGGATCAGGTGAGTATAACTTTTTTTTTTAACCTAGACAAAAACAAGCAATGAACCCTTGCAGTTTTGTGCCCGGAGTTCTGCTTTAGAAAAGTATTAAACTCACATTATTACATACAATTATGACATAGAGCTAGGTGTTGTAAAGAGCATCT